TGTCCTCAAGAGACTTACCAAGTTTGCAACTAGTCTCAAAGCTATAAAACAATAATATCAAAGGGCCCTTGATTTGTTTCATCCCCCAAAATCCCAAGATCTTTCACATTTTTCCTAATACATTTCTGCATTTCTTGGTAATGTCCTAGAAAACAGCAATGGTACTTTGAAAAACAAACAAGCTCAAAAGCTTAGCTGAATAAAAAGGCTTTATTTGGTGGTGGAAAGATCAGAAAGGTCCCTTTCTGAGTAAGGTCATGTTGGAAGTTAGCACCCGCCCCTCTCCTAGAAAGTTAAAATATCCTAGGAAATATTAAAAAGGCATAATATTTCCCCTAAAAAGAGTAGAAACTCAGAAGCAGAAACTCACCTCAGAAGCAGAAACTCACCTCAGAAGCAGAAACTCAGCGCCCCCAACTTTCCTAATGGGCCTATTTTGCATAACAAAGACCTCCAGGTAGAGCTATAGGAATTGCCCAAAGCCCTTTCATTACATCATCACCCAGCAAGGCTCAACCAAGCCTGGGATTCAGGACAACCTACAGAGTTGCCCCTGCATGGCCCCATGGGAGTCTGACAACCAATCAGAATACAAGCTCAATTCAAATCCCAATAGAGGGTATAAAACCCAGGCATTTCAGCATCTCAGCTCTTCCTTCTTTGGAGCTCCAAGCCCTGTGGTCCTGTCCACCATTAAACCATCTTTCCAAACAGCGTCCATGTTTCCAGTGTTTTTTTCCCCACTTGGAACTGGACCCAGAAGGATATTTCTACCAACAGTCACATCATTTGTCAAGCATCCAGAAAGAGGAAGATAAGGACGGGAGAAGAGGGGGAGATATGAAACAATCATTCAGATTTAGCACTTTAAAAGATTTTAATGGCACTTTGAATGGGTTTTTCAGTTCCATTAAAAAACTGTTCTCCAAACTCAGTGAAGGTATTAGGATGTAATTTAGCCAAAGTTAAACACTTAAAAGTTTTCTCACCTTTACTGACACAATTACAGTGTATTCTTTCTCCCAGAATCAATTGATAATGGGACCTACTCCTCAATATGTTTATGTCATTAGTGACATCTGATCATACCCATGTTTACCAATAGAAACATAATGTTCATTACTTTTCTTTAATAAGTCTTTGTTTGCTGGAATTAAGAACATTTAATAATAACAGGACTTCTGTATATCACAAAGTTTTATGCGATAATGGTGGAAACTGACATAAAATGGGGGATTTATAATGCTGAATTAGCCTTGTGAAACAGTCCTGTACCTTTCATAAAAAGTCCAAAGAGCAATTATTACGGGTGTTTGACTGGCACCGTTAAGTCGTTAGTTCAATCATCATTGACCAATTACTGTTTTATTATATTTTCTTTTTCTTTTTATGATCAGTGAATGGCATTTTTCCCACAATCAGTCCTTGAGCACAAAGACAATAACAATTAAAAAGAAATATTTAAAATCTGGGTTTTATCTGCACAAAGGGACCCATCCATCTCTATAAAGATCAGTTTTGCGTGCAGTTGCATCTCAATAAAATATTCTCAAACTATCTACTTTTTAATGCAAGGGGGGTTGGGTTTTGGAGGACTGCATTGTTTAATTTGCATCTGGTTTCTGAGAAGAATACTATGTTTTGCTGATTTGATTGAAAATATTGGATGATCTTAACTTTTAGCAGTGTTTATAGAAACACAGGCCTATGATAAGGGTGCATATGACAGTGATATTGGTCTGTACTAAGGAGTAGGAATAATAGCATTAAGAACTATTGATTGTGAATTAACAATCTAAAGAATTAGAAGCATGGGATATTTTAATCTGCAATTATTATAAAAACACGTCCCTATATGCCTGTGTGTATATGCTTGCAAACACATTGCTTACCTCCTGCAATCAACCTATCAACCAAGAATATCTGCTCATCCCATGTCCTTGGGAAAGACTCAATGGGTGAATAAAAATGCCAAATCCAGTCTAAATATCTGGCTGACTAAACAACCAACCATAATAATAATAAAACTAGGATAAAAGAAGTTTAAAATAAAAAGACCCTCCGTTTCTTTTTACCCTGCTCTTAAGATCTGGTTGTTTGGTTGGGTGATCATCAGCCTCTTCCTTTATGTAAATCTACTGAAGTGAGCCACAGAGAAATTAGTGAAAGGAAGAAATGCTGAGGAAACATAAAGACTGTGACATGTATGGCAACCTGAGTTCACGAGGTGCAAGCATACGCAGCTTCTTCAACCACAGCAAACTCAACATCCATTTTTTCTTTTCTTGGTGATGTTGTCAAGGATATTTCTAGTAAGCTCATTTGAGGAGAAGAATGATATCAGGAATTTCAGCTCCTGGCCGCATTTGTGGAGAAGGTATCTCTTGGCCCAGCACCAAAGGAGGATGAAGCCCAGGTTTGGTTATAAAGGCAAGGGAGTTGCCACTCACTGTTTGAGAACCTTGAATATATCAACCCTAAACTTAATACCCACATGATATAGTATAAACATTTCCAATGTAAGTAAAGGCAATTGCTATGCATTATGTGAAAGTTCACATTTATAATTGGAAGAGAAAGATATGCACGTGACTCACAGACTCAGAAAAGGACTCATCTAAAACTCATGAGGTCAGATATACTGTAGTTACCTGTAATCTCATAAAATGATGCTGATAGTCTGAGGTTCTCCTGAACAATGTGAATCAAGAGAAGTGGGCAGATCAAACTTCTTTTTTTGAAAATGCAAAAAAACCTGGCATATAAATTGAAAAAGGAGAAAGAAAAAATTTGATACACGAATTAATGGATGAGGAAGGAAACCTTTACCATCAAAATTATGATAAAAAGAAAGTGATTCAAAATTATTATGGAAAACTATATGATCAAGAGACAGTTTCAGAACACAAAATAAAACAATACCTGAAAAAGTAGAATTACCTAAAATACCTGAAACAGAAAAAGCAATGTTAGATGAACATATAACAACGATGGAATTAACAGAAACAAATAAGAGACAAAAAATGGCAAAACACTGGGCCCAGATGGTCCACTAGCAGAACTTTACAAAGGTTTGCAAAATATCCTAAGGCAGGGGTGGGCAAACTATGGCCCGCGGGGCACATCCAGCCCATTGGTCTGTCTAATCTGGCCCACCTCTGAAAAAAAAAATAGCTGGATGTGGCGTATTGCTCTGCGTCACCTGGCCCCCAAAGCTGCAAAACAGCGTGGAGCGCTCTCGGGGTAGGAAAGAAAAGAAGAACTTTGCAAAGGCCTCGAGTGTGACCTCTCCGAAGGCGAGTCCCTGCTGATCCCCCCTTTTTTTCCAGGGCTTCCAGGCTTAAACTTTGCAAAGGCAAAGTTTGCGGGCGGGAGCGTCTTCCCGCCAAGGAGCGGGAAGGGTTCCGCTTGGCAGGCGGGCGGGCTGCTTGGAGGAGGCGACCCAGCGGTGCTCCGGGTTTCCCCTCCGCCATGCGGCTCAGGGCCAGGCGCAAGCTCCCGCGAGGAAAAAGGAAGCCGCAAGTTGCTGGGAAGTTGCTTGGGTGCTGGGAGTTCGAAATCACCTTCGAGAGCGACTTCTCTGAAGGTGAATCCCCGCCGATCCCCCTTTTTTTTCCGGGGCTTCCAGGTTTAAACTTTGCAAAGGCGGTGTTACTTTGCTTCCAGAATCTGCTCTTTTGAAAGAGCGCTTCGGTGATTGGACCTTGCCAGCTCGGGAGCAATTCCAGTTTTCGCTAACCTCGGTAGCGAAATAAAATCACCGAGTCAGTTCAAGCCTTGCAAACTGAGACTTAACTGGCGGGCAAAGAGCTCCTTTCCTTGCCTTCTCTCTTCCCCTTGAGCGAAGGAAATGGTGTCGGAGAATTGCTTGCTGTAATTCGAAATTGAAACTTCAATTACCCTCCCCACCCAACTAATTTTCAGTAAGTGCCACTGACTTCAGCATTTGGTTGTAAGAGCTTGGTTTGATCGAAGCTAAGTATTAGGGTTTTTTGTTTTCAAGTTCAAAGAGATGGTGGTTTGGAAGGGGTTTTGTTACTGTTGGGAGGGGGGGAGCTTGGAAGACCAAAATTTTTAATGTTTTATTTAAAAGTCTTTTTTCTAGATTTGGAATGGAAAATCATTTATGTGGGCTCGGCAGAAAGTGAGGAATTCGATCAAGTTTTAGATTCAGTATTAGTAGGCCACAAAGTGCCTCTTTCCAGTGCGCCTCGCCTCGCTTCGCGCCTGCCTCTCCTCCTTCTCCTTGCTGGCTCATTCTCTCTCATTCCCCAAGTGGCACTCCTTGCACAAAGGTTACCTGGGAACCTGGGATTGGATCTGTAGTATGGTGGAGGTTAATATTCTTTAGGAGGGGTTTCACCCACTAAGCTCCCCCCAAAATGTTGGCTCACATTTAAAAAAGGAAAGTTGATTCTGAATGCCGTGTTTTCAACAAGACATGGACTGCTAAATATTTATTTACGGAAGTCAAAGGCAAAGCCGTTTGCTTAGTTTGTGGTACAGTTGTCGCTGTGTTGAAAGATTATAATCTGAATCGCCATTGTGTGACCAAACATGAGGATAAATATAGGAACTTGTCTGACCAAGAGCGAGCAAAGGCGTTGGAGATTTTGCTATCCAAGCTGCAAACTCAACGAACACTTTTTACAAAATTTAGCACATCCAAAGATACAGCTACCAAAGCAAGTTATGTCATATCTCATAAAATAGCTAAATGAAGTAAACCGTTTTCTGATGGAGAGTTTATTAAAGAGTGTTTGGTGGACTCTGCTGAGCTAATATGTCCAGAGAAAAAGGGTGCATTTGAGAACATCCCCCTGTCCCGGCGTACTGTGATTAGAAGGGTTGAGGACATTGCAGGAAATTTGGAGTTTTAGCTGAAGAACAGAGCGGTTACATTTTCCTTTTTTACCCTGGCTCTGGATGAGAGCTGCGATGTACAAGACACTGCCCAGCTACTCATCTTCTTACGTGGGATCACTGCAGACTTCAAAATAATGGAGGAACTGGCATCCATGCAGTCAATGAAAGGGACAACAACAGGGAGTGATTTCCTAACGGAAGTAAATGCATGTTTAGACAAGTTGGGACTGAAATGGGACAAACTTGTAGGTGTGACAACAGATGGTTGTCCAAATCTGACGGGGAGAAATGTTGGACTTTTGAAGAGAATGCAGGATAAAGTTACCGAAATTAACCCTGAGCAGAAATTGACATTTTTGCATTGTATTATACATCAGGAAGTGTTGTGTAGGTCAGTATTAAAAATGAACTATGTTGTTGATGTTGTAACTAAAACTGTTAACTTCATCAGAGCAAGAGCACTGAATCACAGACAGTTTGTTGCACTATTGGAGGAAAATGAGTCTGAACATTGTGACATCAGCTACCACACAAGTGCCAGGTGGCTGAGCCTGGGAAAAGTCCTGAAAGTTTTCTGGGACCTGAGAGAGGAGATCTGGCAGTTCTGTGAGAACAAGGGAAATGACATCCCTCAACTTTCAGATGCAGACTGGCTGGCAGACCTTGGTTTTGCTGTAGACGTGACTTCTCGGATGAATGACGTGAATGTCAAACTGCAATGCAGGGGCCTTTTTGTGCATGAAATGTACAGCGCAGTGAAGGCTTTCATGAGAAAGTTGCAGCTTCTCTCAAGCCAAATGGGGAACAATATTCTTACTCACATGCCAACACTGAAGGAAGCCAAACCATCAGCTGATCACCTCCACAGGTACTCATCCATGTTAGAAGCACTGCATGCTGAGTTTTCAAGGTGATTTCAAGATTTCAAAACACTTGAGAGTGAAATGGACATGGTTTCTTCTCCCTTCAGCTGCAATGTGGGTAATGCACCCAGTGATGTTCAGATGGAACTCATTGACTTGCAGTCTGACACACTTCTGGCAGCACACTTTAGGTCTGTCCCACTGCTTGAGTTTTACTCATCACTCAAAGAGGAGAACTTTCCACATATGAGGAGACATGCTCTGAAAATTCTAGTCCTCTTTGGATCTACCTACATATGTGAACAGACATTCTCAGTGATGAAGTTCAACAAATCCTCTATCACTGATGACCACCTCTCAGCTATCCTTCGCATAGCCACCTCAGATATTCCGCCAGATTTCAGTGCACTTGTTCAAGCCCAAGACAGACTGGATTTCTCCCACTGAACAGGTAAATGATTCTTATATATAATTTGCTGCATTTTATAATGGGCCCATTATAATGGCCTTTTATAAAATTGGTTCAGCCCTCGAATGCAGATCTGATTTTCCATGTGGCCCCCAACAGAAATTAATTGCCCACCCCTGTCCTAAGGATACCAATGCTGGAAGAATTCAATGAAGTACTGTTAGAAGCGAAAATACCAAATTCATGGATGGAAGCATATATCACGCTCATACCAAAAGAAGACTCAGACTTATAACAGATAAAAAAAATTAAACCAATATCCTTACTGTATGTGGATTACAAAATATATGCTTCAATAATTGCAGAAAGACTTAAAAGATTTTTAAACCAATGTGTACATCCAGATCAAAATGGATTTCTACCTAAGATATAAATTAAAGCTGCAGTTCTGAAATGAAAGAGAACAGAAAGAGAGAGTGTGCCGGTTTGGTGAGAACTTTTTTTTTATTCTAAGATCTGAAAGGACACCCTAAGGAAAAGAAAGAATCTGTAAAAGTTTTGACAGAAGTGATTAAGCAGCGATTTTAAACAGGAATGTCAAAGTAATGTTTTTTTTTTCTCATTGCTGGATTTTTTATACATGATCTTATATTTTGAAACTGGACTGATTTTTTCTTTCCCATCTATTTTTTTTCTCCTTTTTGATGTTGTAACATTTTAGGCTAGAGACTCCCTTTTAGTTATTTCTTTTTTTAAAATATCTTTTTCTTTTATTAATTCTTATTATATTTTGCTTGGAAAAGGAGGGGGAAAGTGAAAGCAAAGAAACTTTGTAACACTGCCAACTAAAGGCTTGAAAATATTCTATTTCTCCTGTGACCAGACAAAGCTGAGAAAGAAAGAACTGAGACATTGCTATTTGATAAGATAGAGGGAAGAGCATGGGAGAGTATTATTGCAGGTGCTCTTCTGGGTTTCTACGAACAGCTGGAGTCTGGTGTTGAAACCTAGGGGGAAAAAAGGTGATAAGTTTTTGGAGAAGAGAGTTATAATAAGAGCCTTGGATAATTAAACAAAGGGCAGTGTGCCCTTTTTACTTTTTCTAAGTTGAGCTATCCCTCCTCACCAGCTTTATTTTATTTCATTTTGTCTTTTTTTTTTTTTTTGCAATAGCTATTTGGATCTTTGGCTTTGTTGGAGCTTGTCTTTGTTTTTCTTTTTTTTCTTTGGAAGTCCAATCTCTACACTTGCTTTTTATTTTAAAGGGAAAGCTTTAGTATTAATATTTCCTTTTTTTTAAGGGAATAGCCTTTTTTTCTCCTTTCCTGGTATTTTTGTTTTTTCATCTACCTTTCTGGTTTATTTTTATGCACTCTTTTCTATTTGAGATGTCTCAATTGGATTAAGGTGTTGAAGAACCTGAAGAATTTTTCCTTTTCTTTTCCTTTTTTTTCCAAGCCCTTTTCTTCATCTAACTATTGATTGGATTAAGGTATACAAGAACCTGAAGAAATTCTGTACTCCCTTTTTTTTCTTATTTTAAATCATTACTATTTGGCTTCTTTTTTCTACTATTTTTATTTTGAACTACAATTGGTTATTTCACAATTGGATTAAGGTTTAGAAGAACCTGAAGATTTTCTCCTGGTTCTTCAACTTCTATTTCTTCCTCTCCACCATCTGGAGGACAACGTTCAATACAGACAATGTTAAAGCAAGAAAAAGAACAAGAAAAAGTGACTCTGCAGATGATTATGCAAGGAATTCAAAATATTCAAGCAAGATCAGAGAATATTGAAAAGAGAATAGAGAACATTGAAAAAGAACAGAGAACATTGAACAAAGAACAGGGAAAACTGATGAAAAAGTGGAGAACATCCAATAAATGATGTTGAAGTATGATGAGAGATTCCAAAAAATTGATGAAGAAGATAAACAAAGAGACAAGAAGATTGGAAATATTGATAATTGATTAGCGGTGGTTGAACAAGATAAAAGTGGTGTGTTGAGATGGGAGATGGATAGATCAGAATTCTATCTTAGATTCCAAAATATAGAGGAAGAAAAAGGACAAAACCTAGCTGAGATAATGATAGAAATACTGGCTGAAGCTTTGGAAATAACTCAAGAGAAGATGATGGATGGAATAGATGAGGTTTATCGAGTTTTCACAAGATATGCGATGAGAAATAGCTTACCAAGAGAAGTTCACATTAGATTTACAAAGAAAGCCATTAAAACGCAAATATTGCAAGTGGCAAAAAAGAAAACTTTGAAATATAAAGATAAGGAGATTGTGGTCTTGAAACAAATACCCAGAAGAGGGAGAGAGATGAGAAGAGAATACCAATTCCTGACTAAAATGCTACTTAAAAAAAAAGAGGTGAATTATAGATGGCTGATTCCAGAAGGTTTAATGTTCACATGGCAAGAACAGAGACATAGAATTAACTCAATTGAGAAAGTGGAATTATTTTATACAGAATTTTTCAGAGGGAAAGAGGAAGAGGCAGAAAAAGAGATCTCACTAATTGAATTCCAAGAGGACTGCCAAATGGTGATTGAAACAGAAGAAGGTGCAGTAGGTGGAAAGGTGGAAGCCAAAGAACAACGTGAAGTAAGATCTACGCGAGCTGCTAAACCTAACTATAAAATATAACCATAGAAGAGAAAAAACTGATTACAATTAATATAAATGGACTTAACTCAGCTGTTAAAAGAAGGAAAACCTTTCATGAATTAGAGAAATTAAAATTTGATATAATTTGTCTACAAGAAGTGCATATTAAAAAACAATATGAACAATTGTTGATACAGCCAAAACTAGGGAAAATATTTACTTCCTTGACCCAATGTAAGAAAAGAGGAGTGGTTTTATATATTAAAGAGACCATCCCAGCAAAATTGATTTATACTGATGATGATGGAAGAATACTAATGGTGGAAATAATGGACAATAATATGAAAACACTCCTGATTGCAATTTATGCCCCGAATGACAAACAAGAAGAATTCTATAAAAAATTACATATGAAAATAATTGAACTGGACTATGCCAATATAATTATGATGGGAGATTTTAATGGAATTGTAGACAATAAATTGGACTATACAGCACAAAAAACAATAAAGCAAAACAGAAAGACTCACCATAAATCTTTTTTTAAAATGGTAGATGAAATAAACTTAAAAGATATACGGAGAGAAAGCAATGCTAAAACTAAACAATACACCTTCTATTCAGATAGACACTTATCATGGTCCAGAATAGATATGATACGGATATCAACAGAATTAATAACTAATATTCAAGAAATAAATATTGAAAGAAGTACTTGGGCAGATCACAATCCAATGACAATTAAATGGAAAAGACAAAAAAGAAGATCTAGATGGACATTATATAATACTATTTTAAAGGAAAAAGACTTCACACAGTGGATGGAGAAAGAATTGGCTTTTTTCTTTAGTGAAAACAAAAAAGGAGATACATCAATTCAGAATGTATGGGATACAATGAAGGCATATGTGAGAGGCTTGATAATGAAGGCATATGTTAGAGGCTTGTTATACAAGGAAAAGGAATACTATGAAAAGACTAGCCTCTAAGGCCTTAGAAGATGAGCATAAAATACTTGAAAAAGAGCTACAGAAAATGCCACAGAAAAAGGACATCAAGCTAAAAATGGATATAGTTAAACATAAAATGGGTCAAATAGAAAAAGAAGAATTAGCACAGAAAATTAGAGGTGCTAAACAGAAATACTTTGAAGATGCAAACAAACCAGGTAGATGGTTAGCATATAAATTGAGAAAGAAGAAAGAATCAAGGAAAATATTGCAATTAATAGATGATCAAGGCCAAGTTTGCCATGGTAGTAAAGAGAAGAAGGAAATCATTTGAGACTTCTATGGGAAATTATATATGCAAGAGAATATTGATGAGGAAAGAGTTAAACAGTACTTACAGAATGCTAATTTACCTCAGATACCTAAAGAGACTGAAAAAAAGTTAGAAAGCAATATAACGATGATGGAGTTAATTGAAGCACTCAAGAAGCAAAATAATGGAAAGGCACCAGGCCCAGATGGACTTCCAACAGAATTTTAGAAAACATTACAAGAATTGTTGAATCTTCCATTGCTAGAAGTTATGAATGAAGTTATGTTAAAGAAGAAGATACCTAAATCATGGTCAGAAGCCTATATTACACTTATTCCAAAAGAGGAGGCCGACCCATTACAAATTAAGAACTATAGACCCATTGCTCTACTAAATGCAGATTATAAAATTTTTGCTTCAATATTGGCAGAAAGACTTAAAAAATATTTAAATAATTTTATCCATCCTGATCAAAATGGATTTCTGCCAAAGAGACAAATTAAAGATAATATGAGAGTAATCTTGGACACCTTGGAATACTACGAGGCACATCCTGAAAAACAAATGGCTCTGATATTCCTAGATGCACAGAAGGCATTTGATAATGTGAATTGGCGATTCATGTTATTACTGTTGGAACAGATGGGTTTTGCTAGAAAATTTATTCAAGCAATAGAAGCTATATACTATAAGCAGACGGCAAAGGTAATGATAGAGGGAGAACTGACAGACTCTATCAGTATAAGAAAAGGAACAAGACAAGGGTGCCCACTATCACCTTTGTTGTTTGTGTTAACTTTGGAAGTGTTAAACAGAAATATTAGAGTTGAAAAAAATATAAAAGGAATGAAAATCAAAAAGGAAGAATTTAAGCTGCAAGCATTTGCAGATGATCTGGTTTTCATCTTAGTAGACCCATTAGAAACAGCATCAAAATTGATAGAAAAGATAGAGACATATGGAAAGGTGGCTGGCTTGAAAATAAATAAAGATAAGACAAAGATCTTGACAAAGAATATGCTATTAAGACAAAAGGAAGAACTGGCAGACCTATTGAAAATTCAGGTCACGAAGAAGATCAAGTACTTGGGGATATATTTGACAGCAAGATGTAGTACATTAAAAGAGAATAATTATATCAAACTTAAACAGCAG